TACTCCCCCCACTCCCGCCCCCCACCACCCCTTTAAGCCACAAGCCCCGCACGCAGGAGATGCTCAGAGAAAAGCGGGGTCGCTCACCGGTGAGGAGCCAGCAGCAGGCGACAGCGACCCCTGGGTTGGCAGGGCACAGAGGGGCCATGGCCGGAGCGGCCGCAGAGCCCAGGGACGTGCTGGATCCGAGGTCAGGACCCGTCTGGACCGAGAGCCGGAGCCGAGCGCTCGGCCACTCTGCCCACCGTCGCTGTTCTCAGTGGCTGGTCTGGGCGCCCAGGAGCCGCAGAGTGATTTCCTGTGTTTTCGACAAATGCTTCTAAGTCCGCTCCACGCTTTTCATATCCTAGACGGATTGCCACATCGCCCGCCCCTTCGCGCTCTTGGTCTCTGAAATCCCTGGCAGCCTCCCAGGCTCTGTCCGAGACATGGACAAATAAAGCCAGCTTCGCGAGTCCGTGTTTAGGCTAAAGTCCACGAGCTGCAAGGCAAACCTTAAAGGGACATCTGCCTTTCATTGAGAGGGTGATCCCACTCTCCGTGCCAACTCCCTAAGGTGGTAGGAAGATGAGCGAGGGCTGGACCTTAGGGAGGGTTTCACCGGCCCTGGGGCTCCGCCTTCACACCCTCACTTCTTCCCGGGTCCGGGCAGGGAGGACTCTTTGAAAATGCCGGGACTTCTGGGCCCTTCAGGAGAGGCTGCTTTCCTGGGGTCCGATTGCGCAGAACGCATCAGACTGTCTGCAGAAGTGAGCAGGTCTGGGGTCTCTCTTCCCTCTCCTGCGCCCACTTGAACTTCTCTGTGCAGTCTTCTCGCACTAAGAGAGGCGGACCCGGCGCTGGAGGGGTATCCACTCCGACACGCCCCACTGAGGGCTTTGCTTTCACTTATGGAAGGTTTGCTTCATTTCTGGTGATTCGTGGTTAAAGGGTATTTGCAGCTAGGCTTTTCTTTGAGATTATGATAAGCAGTAGATTGGGAGGAAAAAAAAGGGGAGAAAGAGGTAAGTGCAAGAAGGAAGCGGGAGGGAAGAAAGAGGGGGGGGAGGAAAATAGTCTTCGTAGAAATGGAATGTTGTGTGGGCTATTTGTTTAAGCTGAATTAGAATGTTTGTACACTGGAAATTGAATCTAATAAAGAACTCAGGGTGCTGTGTTTTTTTTTTTTTCTCTTCTTGCTACAGACTTTGTAAGACTGCATTAAGTTTTGTTCATGTTACTCCCTCTTTCCCCATTCCCACTACTCTAAGAGACTGAGAATAGGGAAATTGACCAGGCAAAAATGCCCCTCCCTGGGAGACCTGGGCTGAAAGAAGCCCTAGGAGTTTACAATGCTTCCTCTGCCTGCTGAGTTGTACAACCTCTCTAAGTCAGCGCCACAACCACATATAAGCTTCATCTAATACTTGCTATTTTTAAAGCCACAGTGTTTTAGGAACTTTGAGAATTTCAAAGAAAAGTAAGATGTGGGTGAATGGATTCGTGTTTACATGTGGTAGAGGATTTGTATTCAGCTCCATTGATTGTATTCAATTCAATTCAATTCAATTCAACTCAATTCAATCCAATCCAATCCAATCCAATCCAATCCAATCCAATCCAATCCAATCCAATCCAATCCAATCCAATCCAACAACTAATTGAGTCTTTCTATCTAGCAGGTCTGGGGCTAGCCAGGACAAGAGTGCCACCCAAAGGAGGACTCATTGCCTAGAACACAATACAGATGACACAGTACAGGTAACACAAGGAAAGGGGAAGGAGAAGGCTTCAAGAATGATTAAATAAATCGCCAAATAGACAATTGCAGGGATTAAAATTTTAAAAAGATGAAAGTTAAAGAAATTTAATGAAGATGAAAAATGGGGTGGGCTGAGCTGGAAGGTCGAAAGCCATCAAATCTCACCTCTAATTTACGTATTTGAAGTGTTCCACTAGTTAGTAAATATATGGAAAATCCTGTTTTCCTTGTTTCCAGCTTTAATTTTTCTCATTTCTCAGTGCTATCTTCAAAATTGTGCAAGTAGATCTCTAGAAAAATTGTATTATGTTGACTCATAGTTCAATCTCATCAGATTTTCATAATTCAGTCTCATTACTTCGGCTTCTTTGCCTGCATTCAATGGTCTCATATCTCAGTCTGGCTTTCCAATCTCTCTCTTATCTTCATTAACCCGATATCATCAACCTGCGTCCTGCTGTTCCTGGGAAAACTTTGCCATGGAATACCTTCCCTGGGTACATTTCATCTTCCTGTCTATAATCTCATTTATGCCTCATGCCTTTCAGTATAACTCACTGGGCTTTGCACAATAATTAATAAATACTGATTAATTGACTAATGCTATATTTTTATAATTGTAACAAATATTTGATTCAAAAGTATTGTGGTTTTATTGTAAAAAAGATTTTCTCCAAATTGCTCAATTTTTAAAAATAGATAATGGTCTGTTTATATATGAATGCGTGTATAAGTATATTTATACATATATACACATATGGACTTCTAGAAAATTGCAATATATTAAATTAGAAAAAAAGAGAAATTTTTAAATTATATCTTATTGAAATAAAGTAGGATTAAAACATACTCATAATATGGTCAAGGCTATAATTACTGGGAACTTTTTTTTTAGGTTAATAAATACTTTGATTTTAAATATTTTTTTATCTTCTCTAGGACTTATAAACTTATAGTGATAACCACCACTACTACTGCTGAGCTTAAAGTTAATTTTCATATGTGTTGTGAATCTTATGGCAATATTGACTGATCTTTATGTCAAATCAAGTCAAATATAGAGACTGAGAAAATAGCTATTGCTGGAGAATTACATTTAGAATCAGTGCTCATTTCCTGAACTTCAATAAATCTAAACATAAATCAATGTCAGGCAAGCTGTTTTCTTAACCAATTTTATCCCTACTGATAGGAAGACATGCCATTGAATAAACTGAAGCTTCGAGAAGACAAAAACCAGGGTCACAAACTAGTGATTATATGTAGTCACTTGATGGCAATTGTGAAGCTCTAGACTTTATAGTATATACTCTTCTATTTTAAAAGATGCCTAATCTGATCAGATCATTTTTAGGGTTTGGAAATATGGGTGAAAATTAAAAGTATACAAAAGGGGTTAGAGATTGAACAGGTTAAGAATTTTGAAAGCAGGGTTTATAAAATGAGGGAATAGTAATTGAGTTTACTGAACAATAATCTCAAAAAGAAAAACATTTATTTTCTATCAAAATAGTCTCCTTAGTGGTTATCTATATAATGCATAAAATTACTGAATTAAGTAAGATTCTAGAGCTGGACTGCTTAGATTCAAACCCTGGAACCACCATATGGTAACTGTGTGATTCAGGAAAAGTATATAGTTTCTCTAAGCTTCAATTTTCTCAAATGCAAAATAGGAATGAAAATACTGCCTCTCTCTGAAGGCTGTTGTAAAGATTAAATGAAACAAAACCTACAAACCATTTAGCACAATGCCTGGATTAAAATAAGTGCTTAATAGAAATGAATCATTCTTCTTCTTGGTAGCAGGAGAACTAGTGTTAGACAGACAATGGAAACACAGGGCAGGGCCTATGAGTGATGGGCCCTCTTGGAACTGACATAATTTGATGCGCATCAGAAGGAAACTTTAGTGTTTGACTGAAAACATCTCCATCAGCTCCTATGATTGTTTCTGGAATCTTCACCTTTACAATATTTTCTTTGGGTTAGGAAATTATCTTGAAGATACCCCTATAAAATGAGTATATATTAAGAAATTAGAACCCATTATGACATTCACCAGGATTTGCTTTTTAAATTAGCTACCTGTTAAAGAGATTTTTTTTCTTTTTGGAAATAAGAGAAGATAATTTCACTAAGGGGTTTGAAATAGAAGAAGGTCTAGAGTTCTGCTTCTGCTGTATTTCAGGGTTCTTTGCCAGTAAAATCATGAGTTGTCAAAGCAGCAGGATAAAAAAGTTTCTCCCATCTGAGTAGAGGGCTGGTGTCAATTTTACTCAATAGTAAATAATTTTTAAATTGATTTATGTTAAAATAATAGCTTTTTTAAATAAGAAAAATACAAAATGATGTTTCTAAAAACGTTAAATATGAAGTTTCAAGTACGTTTTAAGGTAGCATCAAAGTGTATTTCATCACCCACCCCTTCCCACCTCTAGGGGCTTCAACGTAAGTGCTATTGTCTAGAACTCCTGATTTTACAAAGATTTCACAAAAATTCAGATTTCTGAATGTTACTGTGTGTGTAAAAGCACCCCAAGGCAGTGATGGTAACTCACAGGGCTTACCCTTACGGGCAGCTTAGTCTAGTTCAATAATTTCAAACTTCCTGCTAAGTATTAGATTCTAAGCCTATGCTCTGCAGAGGCAAAAATGGGTAGGACAATTGATTTTCTTTTCTTTCTTTCTTTCTTTCTTTCTTTCTTTCTTTCTTTCTTTCTTTCTCTTTCTTTCTTTCTTTTTTTCTTTTTTTTTTTTTTTTTTTTTTTTTTTTTTTTTTTACCTCTGTTCCAAATGCTTTGCTGGTAAGTGCAGAAAAAGGATTTTTTATATTTTTTACTTACTTTTGTTTCTTTTCTATTAGTGGTTTTTAAGACTATCTCAATCATTTCGTCCTCCTTTGGGTTTATGCATGGGGTTTTGTTTCTTTGTAAATAAAGGGCTTGGGTTTGATTGTCTCCCATCCAAGTACTAACCAGGCCCAACCCTACTTAGCTTCTGAGATCAGACATCAGGCTTGTTCAGGGTGGCATGGCCATAACCATGGACTGTGGCTCCACTGGGGCACAAACCCAGGACCTTCTGTGTGTAAAGCAAATGTGCTAACTGCTACACTATGGAACCACGTCCGAACAGTTGATTTCCTACCGGAAATATGCTGTAATTAGGAATAGAAAACAAGCAGTTTTGTCCTCACTTCTAACACTGACATATTTCATTTTAAGCCTGTTATTACTATATTAGTTGCACTGCTAGAACTTGAGATTGCCTTTCCTATGACCAAAATAAAGTCGCAGTGGTGTGGAGCTTGAACTTCACCAGCAACCAACAATTTCTTTTTCTTTTTTCTTTTTTTGGTTATTGCATAATATTCTCGTGTGAGTGTTTTTTCACTTAAAATGTAGACTAGGTATTCCTCCCACCCTATTTCCTGAATAAGTCTGTGCCAGAAGCCTGTTCCAAAGACATTTGGGTAACTGGTACTGATGAAAAAAATGAACTTTAAGATTCTGGTGAGGTGCAGTTTTTAACACTGTAGGAAACTTCTCTAAAACTTATTGGCAGACGTCAACAAAGGGTGACACACTTGGGCTGCAGTGGGGGAGGGTGTACTGGGGTGGTGCCCTGGCAAGAATATTCAATTCGTGGCACTCTCTGACTCAGAATAACCACCACTGATGGGCAGTAACATTTTAGCTGTGTTGCTGGATCCCTTAATTTGAAATTTGAATTAATTATATTTTAAACTAAGGGGTGATTCTAGGATTATTTGAGCAGCTTGATTTAGTTATTTTCCTTTAACCAATTTCTAAAAAGTTAAATCAAGGAGATGGGCTCTAAAATCCCAGAATTGCAACAAATAAATGATTAGTTAGAAATTAAACCAAGAAAACTGGTATTTCTTGTTAATGAGACTGGGTCACTAAATATATATGTATGGTATACTCTTTAGAATTTAATAAAAAGTAAATATTTCAAGAAAAAGTGTCTATTGACATAAATAGTTTAACAATTATGTGGCTATTTCCATCTGTTTAACCAGACCATAATCTATACCAAGATAGTCAGCATCCACCCCCATGTAATTCAGTCATTCAAATAGTTATGGAATTACTTCTGTATGGCAGGAAGTCTTTTAGGAACTGGGAATTCAAAGATATTGATGTGCTAGGCCCTATCCTTAAGGAAATTCACAACCTACCTAGAGCTATGCTTAGAATGCTCTCCCAAATTGCATCAGACAATTCCCTAGAATGAAGGATAAAATCAACAAGAAAAAAAGACAGGGTTTCATAGAGATAGCAGCACTGAAATTTAGCCTCATAGGAAGTAGGCAGAAGGTTTCACAGGCAGAGAAAAGGGGACATGGGTATTCTAGGCAAGAAGCAGCATGCAATAGATGAATAGAATGGAATAAAAGTTAAGATAAGCAAGTGAAGTTGGGACCAGATTTGAAAGTATCTCAGAAGGATTCCAAGGAATTTGGACTCCTCACAAGCACAGAATATTTTCAGAGTTCTGAGTGACATATTCAAACTTGTTTTTAACTCTGTTTTTATTTTTTTCCTCTTATTTCCAGAAGTGGCTTGATTTAATGTAATTTTTGTAGTAGAGGAAATAAAATATATTAAATCCATGAAGCACACCTTGAAAGTTCTATCTCCTGAATTTTTATGCAATGTGCTTCATAGTAATAAGAATTTTAAGTACCTACTATGGAATTATGGCTAAATTTATCTAAGCTATAAAAAGTAATAGAACAGGTGATTATAATATTAAGTGTATAGATGAGGCTAATAAAAAATGATAATATTAATTAGGCAATTACATGTTTATATTGCAGGGAAGAATTTCACAGTCACAAAAATGAGAAGTATAAAAAAGGAAACTTTTTATGACTATTTTTTTCTTTCGAGCCCCCACTATACTGTACTAAAAGATAATTCAGTGTTTCCCTCTCTTTTTTCTTTTTCTGGATTGACTTTAGTTTTATTTTTTTCCCCTAATTTAAGTCTTGCTGAAAAGGAAAGGAAAATGGAAGAGAATGTGACCAAAGGAATGAGTTTTCCTTTTCGAAGAGCTACAGAAAGTTGCTGAACCCCTTGGATGACAAAGGAGTCATACAAGTTATAAGAATTGAGAGAAATTGGGGAATCCAAATGGAGTATGAGTGACTACAAAGGTAAGGGTGGGAAGAATCCAGATATAGCCCAAACAACCTTAAAACAACCAAAACTTAAAACAAAACTTAAAACAACCTGTCATTTGCTAGCACCTGGCAGCTGCACAAGAACTATTCGATACCTGTTCGTTATTCGCGGGACTACCAGTTGCTTTGTGTAAGAAGACTATATCATCCATATCAGGACCCAGTGACTTAAAAGTTCTCCAGCAGTCATAGCCAGCTGTTGTGTTGTCCTGAGTACATCTTGAATCAATCCACACATGACTACCCACAAAGACAATATAACTAGGTCACTTAAAACATTCTAAGTTGGGCTCTGGGTCCCTGGGGGAGTAGTGGTAATGTAAAAAGGAAAATAACCACTCCCACCCACCCCACCTGTATTTGTGGGGGACTGACTGGAACCAGATTAAAATTTTTATTTGAGTTGGGACATAAAAAAAAATCCCTTACATACATTTATAAAAATGAATTATATTTAATTAATCTAAAAATAATTATTGGTGTTTAGCAAAATTAGACATAAAAGTGCTTAGAAACAAGGCCTAGTAAGTTGCAAACTATATATATCTGGCACCTGACCATATCCTAACTGATATTTATGTTTATCTTTTACAGGATCTTATAGCTCATTTTCACAATGACCATCCTGACAAAACCACACAAACAGTAGTATAATAAAAAATTTTGACTTAAATTTAATCTAGCTAGAGTAACAATACTTAGATTTTTCTTATCGTCTCCACAAAAATTAATGTTGAGACTGTTTTGTATTTTATGTCGCTACAAGTTAGGGAAAGTAAATTAAAATTTTCTACTTTGTGGTGATCAAAACT